ACCTCAATCCTTAGGTACTAAACTACAATTTTAAGGCACGTTTAGTCGACTTTATACCTCCCCTTCACTACATTTCACATTTATCTGAACACTTTAGTGACTTTTAGGTTTAGATTTTACCCATTAGATAAAATAACAGCACATGTTTAGGGATTAAACCACTATTTGCCAGATTTGTTTGGCCTTTTTAACAAAAAGCACCTTGTTGTGGGCATCATGTTTCATATCCATGGCCTTGTTTTTATGTGCATCTTGAATTATTTGCAAAAAAAGAAACGTTTTGATAAGACCTGACATGGCGAATATTAAGCTGAAACGACCAATCAGCTGTTTCTTTCATCGTTTCCTGCAGACGGTGTGAAATATTTCCATCGTCACTTCCAGCACACGTGAAATAAAAATGACTGACTTTTCCTGAAGACTTCTCTCATTTTTTTCCTAACTTTTTGCAAACAACTGGTTTCCGATTTTTTTATTTTTTATTTTTTTACAGCCATGTGTGACGTTGCCGATAGCGCCACCTTCTGATGAAAAAAGTTAATGGATGTTAATGGAAACAAGCCTTAAAGCCCTATTTGCATGAGATCAGTGTAGCATGGAGACGTCATGCGATTTAGGACGCACAGGATGAGCAAAATATGCAATTTGCTCCAATTTCCCGCCATAATCTGCAGATGTTGTGTTAATAAACTGCCACGTAATAACTGCTGAGCCTGTTTAAAGAGCTAAATGTCGACATGGGCTCGATAATCCTCCAGCAGCAGAAGAAAAGTGCAAAAAAGCCAACAAAAAAACAAGAATCTGCAGTGTTTAGGGAAATATATTTAACATATATTCAATTACTGAAGCTCCCTAAGTAATATTAGTTCCACGTTAATAGGGCTCAATTCATATCTTCTTTTTGTGTCTGTAGTTTTTGCAACTTTCCAAAAATTAGTTTCTAAGTTATTAGTGGCACCAACAAATAAGTCATTTTTTCCCCTCTGAACTTCTGGTTTTAATTTCCATGAACGTTTGAATGATCCAATGTGTCAGCAGAAAATTAGAGGAACAAAAAAGTGAAACCAGATTTGCGGATCTGAACTTTCTCTCTGCCGTTAATGTATGTAATTAATTAATCCCTTTTGATGTAATATTTATGATGTGGTTTATTCTTTATTTATTTATGTCTTTATATGAAATACTCAGTGAGCTTTTGAATTGCCCCGAGGGGGATAAATAAAGTTATTTGAATTGAATTAATCATCTGATGACCCCTTAAGTTTATCTGCAGTAAAATATGTAATAATTTAATGATATTATATGTGATGAGACCTCGACATCAAACCTGGCGAATACAATCAGACACACGTAGCCCACCGTAGATTGGAATTCATGCACCAAATTTATTTCTATTATAACACTCCATTTTCAAAAAAAATTAGAATTTGCTGGCAATTTCTTCATGGCTCATGCTTTACAGGGTTAAGCAAGACCCTTCATGCAGGACTTTCATGCTCAATGGAGTATTTGTGCCACTTTCCTTGATTTAAAGGCTCTGAGTACTTCTAACCCAACGAGGAAGCAGTTTACTTTCACATCATCCCACTTCTCTGTTTCATTTCCCACATTCGAAGCCGCCGAGTGAAAGCGAAACGCGCCGCAAATCTCCGGTAAACAAAAAAAATTGCCCCTCGCGTTGGGGTCGGATCTTCCCTAACTGGTCCCAAAGCCTAAAAACGACAATCAACATTTTTGTACACGCTGCAGGCTTCCAGAGTTTCCCCCTCTGCGCCGCTGCCACCACCCTCCACCCTCCACCCTCCACCCTCCTCGGCCTTTGAAGTCTGAAGCCTGCTCCTTTCAGCGCTCTGTTGACCAGATTTAGCAAATTTGGCTACTGGATGTTGTTTTTAGAGGTTTGCTTCAGAGCCCGAGTCCGACCGCGCCTGTCTGTTCGGGACGTCTCGGCTTCAGCTTTCACCTTTTCATTACAGCCTCTTTTTTCTCTTCACACAGTTTGGGTTACATTTAGACGTAGCTGCCTGGACAGAAAACTAAATGTTTGATGCCGTCCATAGAAACGCATCTGAAGGTGTTTGAGTAAGAAGATCCGGCCACATGTCATCTGTCCGTGAAGCCTGTGTTGTTATAACTGGTGTTGATATTGAAAGATTTCCACCGCGGCGGCGTTCCCATCTGCATTCCAGCGTGCTCCATTACCTGAATGTGATATGGGGCATCTCCCCAGTGCATGCACGCACGCTTTCCTTTAGTTATTGGAGACGGGTTCGCTGATATTGAAGGAAATTGCCTTTCCCCAAAACATGCTTCAGTCTCGAGATGTGCTTTTCTTTTTTTTAGAGGTTTTTGCTGCATCCTTGTCACGTCTTATCCTTCAAGATGCAATGTTTTATTCTGTTTTTCTTCTCTGCACAGCCCACCACTACGCCATCTCCCTCTTCCTTCTCTGTCACTATGTGCTGTCGTTGCTCTTCACGTGGTTAAACTCCTGCGTCTCTTCCAAGCTCAGCATTGTTCGGCGCTGCAGAAAACTGAAACCTCGCGTTGTTGAAGTTTTTTGCGCAGGAGATTCCATGCAAGTTTGTCTTAATGAGGCACATTTAACCCTCTAAATCCCAAAAACCCAGTTTGAAAGGCATGTTGTCTTTAAGAAAAACAGCATCTATCAGTGTGAAAACAGAGAGAATGATGAGATTGAAATATTCATCTGTGATGTGATGTTTTGGTTCGGCAACTTAAGTGAATCTCAGCTTATAATTGCGATATTTCTTCAAAATCACAAATTCTTTATGCATGAATTCAAAATTTCCGTTAACTAGATTCTGTGAAAAACAAAAAATTCTGCATTTTTTGCCGCAACTGTGAAGCCCTTAGTGACTTAGCTGCGACCAAAACTCGCATAAGAAAAATCCAGAGACTTTTCGGCTGAACTGCAGGCAGTGTACGGAAGCACATTAAAAATATTAGTCACAAAATACATCCGGGTTGCAGAGTTGTTGTTTTTTTTTTCCTCCAGTGTTGGCAACATAACACCTGTAGGCTGGTTTTCAAGTTTTGTAAAATAAATAATCAAAGAAATTCAACTTTCATTTTGTCTTTTTGTGTGATTTATAGCATTATAACTCTGTCGTAACGCACCAAAGACACTCCTGAGTTCCCTCTACATCTAGTCATGGTTGTGTTTCCGTATCGGTGCAGGACTTCATGTTGCAGAATAGAAAACAGGGTTCAGAGGGTTAAAGAGGAAGAGTTTCACACAAACGGCTGCAGACAAACAGGCCAGTGATGCCGTGTGAAGCCTGAATGGAGGGAATGATGTGTTTGTGGCTGCAGCTTGAGAAGGAGGGAAAAGAAAGGGTGGATTTTCTCTTTCTTTGTTTCCCTTTTGCTATCTGTTAAGCCATCGTCCTCTCGGATTCTCCTCCGACCTGTTCCTCCTCCTCTCCCCTCTTCTTAACCTCCTTTAAACCGAGATTACCGCGACCCAGAGCTGGATCCCGTCCAGACTCCAGAGATCCGGGAGCTTTGCACACGACGGCAGCATCTGTCGGCCTCCCTTTGTAAACACACCAACACACACCAGGATTGTCGTGCAGTCGCGTCCTGGATATCCGACTGCGTCCGTCTGCAGGCTGCCGGCCGGCCGGGCGGTGGGTTTGTAGGTTTGCGCGGCAACTCGTGGGCGTGTCCCCGCACACGTTGAACACATGCGGGATCCAGATGGTGACAGACTTGGCTCGCACCTTGGCCTTCGCTGCTCCTCCTCATTCTTCTACTCGCCACCCTTTCACCGTTCTTTACCTTCCCCCCTCTTTTCCACCTACAGTGTAGCTGGCAGCAGCACACGCCTGTGCTCTTTAACTCCACTGTTCCTCCCTGCTTCGTGCTGTTTGTGCAGTTTTACCCTCCACTGCTACACATTGCACCGATTAGTCAGTCTGTACTCACAGTTTGTCCTTTTAGGAGTTTACATTAGATGTACGGAATCCCAAAGAGGACAAAACAACTCATCACATAGATTCATTCATGAAGGTATATATAAATATTAGTGATGCACAATATTAAACTTTCTGATATCACCGGATAGAACCGTTTTGAAGCAATGCATTTAGCAACAGCTGCAGTTTAGGAAATCCTTTTCCAAGCAGGTCTGACTCTGAGTTTAAAGTGTTGTGTCGATGGTTTTGCAGTTCCACGCCGTCCTCCTGGTGTGACAGTCATGTGGTCTCATGTGGTAACGCTCCATCACATGGTTTGAATCTATTATAGTCAATAGTGAAGAGGGAAAAAAAGCAAAAAAATTTAATCAGATATTTTCCAGCTTCACACACGATATAAATGAAATTCTCTGATTTTTATCATCTGTCGTCAGTTTTCTGTGATTTATGGCTCATTTAATTGAATCTAATTAGATTTTCTGTTTCAGATCCATTATGGATTCTTTCCCGCCTTCTTTTTTTGCTTGTTTGTGAGCAGGATGAACATTACATAAACCTCTTTGATCGTACGTTTTGTCTCCACGTGAGGCATGAAGTTTCTTTACAGTGTCGCTCCCTGCATTAATTTGTTTTTTTTTTGCTTGTGAGCGCCTGTCGCAGCGAGGAATGCGCGCCTTCCTAACTGCACATTAACTTAACTAGCGCCGCATCAGATGCATAATAGCACGCTGTAACTTCTCTGGTGCCGTTTTAGCTCCAGCTACCAAATCATTCCGGGGCTAATTCTGGGGTTTGGTTTCCACGTCTGTGTCTTATTTTAGCTTCTTGGTGCTCGTAAGTCCAAGAATCTGTGAAAAAAAAAGGGCCTCGCTGAGAATGCTGTGAGCTCAGGTGTAGCTCCTTTTATTAACCACCTGATGCTCTTCTCCTGAGGTGTTGTGGTTGTTCCTCCCCGCTGATCCTCGGCCTGTTCATTAGACTTGTTAGTGAGAAGATGCTCCTTATGGGATCTTCTCGAGCATCCCGAAAAAATAATCCTCAGGAAAGCAAAACGACAAGATGCTTCAGAATAACCTTCAGAAAAAGGCTCCATTAGCTGATGAGATGCTCCGTCTCGCCTCCAGTTTCCTCTTTCTATTTAATCTAATTTGTCTTTTCCCACCTCTGCTTCTTGTCTTGCAGCAACGTTCGCCCGGTAAAGTGCTGTTCGACCTGGTGTGCGTGCATCTCAACCTGTCGGAGGGAGATTACTTCGGGCTGGAGTACCAGGACCAGCGCAAGATGACGGTATTGATCAGCTGTTCTGGACAGAAATGTTCATTTTCCTCATTATTGTCATATATCTTCACCTTAAAAGCCTCATTTTCTGTCTTTCTGTCTGAACCCTCTGATTTGCCACCAGTTCCTGTCACATTTTAACTCACTATGGCTCATTTTTCACGACTATATAAAGTCCTGGACTTTTTTGGAAACAGAAGAACCATGACTAGAAGTAGAGAGGGCTTATGTGAAGGATAAAATAATAATGCCGTACATCACAGAAATTACGGAAGCTGAAGTTAAATTTATTTGATTATTTAGTTTGCAAAGTAAAATTGAAAGTGCAGTTATCAATCCTGGAAAAAACCCTTTCCTCTGCATACTATAGATATTTCACAACTTGCATAGTAATTTCTTTACGTACAGTCGTCCTCAGATGTATTCATAGTCTCTCATTAAAGAAGGAAAAAAATCTAAAATAAGTTGAAATTGACAAAAGTAATAATAAATAAAAAAATTATGAAAATCATGACATTGCTTTTGAATTGTGGTTCCACAGAAATGTGGAAGAAAAAAAATTTTCAAATAAAATCATGCGTGATGGGACCCGTAAACTAATATTTGGTTGAACAACCCTTTGAGCCAATCAGTGCAATCAGGTGTTTTCTGTAACTCTAATTTGTTTTTTGTTTTTTTTAATTATTCCTTTCAACCACAATTCAAAAGCCATGTCTTATTTCACTAAATTATAATTTAGCAAATTTTTATTTATTCTTGCTTTTTTCAGTTTCTACTTATTTGAGTGTCTATTGTGAATTTTGTCTTGTCTTTAATGGATTTGTCTGCTGGTTGCAGCTGAGGGACTGAAAACAGTTTTTAAATGAGACATGCTGAAAAAATGATGAAATATTTCAGGCTTAGATTTGGTTGTTTTTCTTGACGACATGTCACAAATGAATCCTTCAAGGGCCATTAAAAAGCTAAAAATACGACTATTTAATCAATTTTCTCAGCTTCTATCTGTGATAAATGGTCTCATCTTGGCAACAGATAACCTGCCAGCTGCTTTTATATCCAGAAGGTTAACACCACCTTTCATCATAACTTTATTACCTTTGTTGCTTGCAGCTACAGACATTTTCAACATCTTATTTTCTTGTTTGTTGTTCGGCTCAAAGCTACATTTATCATCTAAAATGTCTTTTACGGTACGTTTAGTGAGGTTTTCTCTCGTCAGCTGGGATGATCTTCAATCTTCTCAGCGCTCGCAGCGAGATTCTTTCTTTACTTTCAGGTTAATGACACGGCTGCGCTCTGAGGTTAGCCACATGTAATACAGGCGATGCTTTCATCTGATACAAAACACAACCTTGACCTGCCTACAGGTTTTCCACATATGTCACAGAGGAGCAGCTGGTTTGTAATAATTTACAGATTTGCTGGATAGAATAAAGGAGGAGGATTTCTCTGCAGCACAGTCTCAGCGTTGAACACAGACGTCCGCTGTTGCGCTTCACCGCCTTCGGGGCATCAGTTGTTTTGAAGTGGATCGATGGAACAAATGATGCAACGTCGAAGAAATAATTACAGCATTGTCGTCGGCTCGCATGCACAGGAAGCTGCAGACCCACGCACAGACGCCATACATCAAGCGGGTGACATTTAAGACGCGTCAAAGGCCATTACAGGCAGCGTCTGAGGCGTTTGGATGTAATGCGACGATGACGTCGCTCACATCGAGTGCACTCATGTGTCCAGTGGGAATTTCCGCACTAATAGTGTCGGCGTTTAAATCGACGACAGCTTAGTGCTGCGAAAACCCCATATCAAACCGTTCCTGAATGTTATGCAGGACAATAACAGTTTAATCAGCATGCTTTAATTACGTCAAAGACTGATCTATAGGCAACAAAGCAACTCAGTCACAGTTTTTAACCGGATATTTTCATTTAAAGATATTTTCCTTCAACTAAGTACCAACTTCCAAAACCCTCTAGGAAATAATTGGGATTTTTTGTGTTGGAGCCTAGCCACAAAAGACCCGAACGAACCCCATTGTGGCAGGGGGAGCACTAACGACTCACATAACGAGGGGGAGGAGCAACAAACCCCCAATTGAAGCCGAAACTCAGGTGTTAATGGCTCCTTAAGGATATGAGTATCTGGAACTCCCAACTAGTCAGTCAGAGCTGATGAAGCCTCTTGGATGAGAGGTGGAACGTCTTCCAGAAACTCAAGAAAGTCCAGTTGCTATTATTAATCTACCAGAACAACCTTTAAAGAGATGGTTGGTGTCATCAAAGGAGCTTGGGGCGCTAGCATGGAAGCTAATGGATGGAACTGCAACAAGATGTGTTCCAGCAACCTAAAAAAGCCAAAAAATCTGAATCACTCATCCACCGTTTTTGATTATTCATCCTTCAGAAACTGAAAAAACTGAAGTGAACATAGCCAAGACAGGTGTTACCAGTACTGGGGAAAAAAATGTAGACTCTACGTACAATTTAAATTTTTGATTTGTTGCGATGCTTTTTTTATATCTACGTGTTAACGCTGCCTGCAGTTCAGTTGAAAGGTTCTTAAGTTTTTTTCACTGGACTTTAAGGGTGCTTTTTTTTACACAATCTGGTTCGAGTAAATGTTTTTTCTTTTGGCAAAATTTTGATGAAGTCATTTAGCATAAAGTGCGTTTGATTAAATATGGCAATATCACCCTTAAATTTACGTAAGTCTCCTGACGAAACCGCCCCCAACACATGATTAGTTCAATGAAGTTGATAATCCAACCTTGTTTTGTTTGGTTTTTACTGTGTTTTACCTTTTCTGGCTCTATTAATTGGTGTAATTTGACAGTTTTTCAAGATATTATCTTATTAAAATCAGCCGTTGGGTTTTCAAATGGATGAGTAACGCTGTGCACTTGTCATGAACTAGCTATAGAGACCAAAGCAGTTCTAATATGAGGCTCTAAACGTGTTTATTTCTGCTGTAAAGTTTGACATTTTAACACGGATGTTTGCAAGGGGGTTGACTCAGTTTTACTGCCAACCCCAAGTGGCCGTTTGAGGAACTACAGTTTATGCCGCTTCCATGTTCTGCTTCAGGTGGACCTCATACAACCCCGCTGCCTCGTTAAAGTCAAGCGTTGCCCTGAGCTGAACCCTTGGGAAGGATATGACATGTTTATTTTTTCAGAGATCTTTTATACCAACTAAAATAAACCCGACCAGTAGATTTTAGGATTAAAGCTTCCTGGCGTTTCCACTGTAGCCCATCTGCGGCAACTCAGGTTACATAAACACAGCTGACGCGTTGGGAGTCCTTTCGGGAACGACGTGATCTGTTTCCTCATCCCTTGAAGGAAAAATAAGAAGCGGGGTGTTGCTGATGCGGCTGCTGTTTTAACCGCGGTGGGAAAAATCCTCCAGCGTCAGCCTGTAATGATAGCGAAGCTGTTCTGTGTTCTCTGCAGGTGTGGCTGGACCTGCTGAAGCCGACGCTGAAGCAGATCAGACGTAAGTAGCTTTCGGAGATTTTCTGTTGCAGTGTCAGATCTTCACCTGACACCAAATGATCAAACCTCAACAATGCTTTTTAAACCTGATAAACGATTGTCTAATCTTTCTAAATCTGCCTCTCTTTTCCCTCCTTCAGGACCTAAGAACACCATCCTTCGCTTCGTGGTGAAGTTCTTCCCTCCCGACCACACGCAGCTCTTGGAGGAGCTGACTCGGTAGGTCTTCTCGACAAACCACACCTATGCGAGGAAGAGTCTCTTAAATTAGGTGCCGTTTGGCCGTCGGCTTCCTGTCTGGTCGGGCTGTTTTTCAGCCGTCCAGGAGAAGTTTCTGAGCAGCGATTTACGCAGCTGAAGCCGAGGCCTTGTTCTCGTGTCTTTTTGTTCTTTCTTGTTGTTGCTCTTGGTCGGTCGCTTGCCATTTATAACACATTCATATCCACATGCCTTGACATCAAACTACTTTTTTATTTTTTTTCTTTTCCGCACCCAAACACATTTTAGTTTGCCGTCTGGGAACCTCGCTCGTGAAACCGCTTGTTGTTCTGAAAGGAGACCAACGCTCTGACCGCCGCACTGTACAAGAAAAAAAAATAAGACTTTTCATCCCAGACAGACGCTTTTATCCGCTGAAGGATCTTAGCGCTCCAAGATTAGATTATATTCCCACCTCCCGCCTCAGTTCGCTCCACCTTCTTGTTTAAAAAGTGTAAATTATCTGCGGCCATCTTGTCTGGCTGCTGCTTGTTTTGTTTAGTCTGACTGAAGCCTATCAGGGCCCAGTGTTTGTCTGAGCGGCCTCCTCCGTCCCACAACCAAAAATAGAAATCAGAAAATGATTTGACCTTTCGCATTTTCCCATGATGTTCCCTCAGCAGCCCCAGATGGGGACGAGAAGCAGGAAGTGCCTCCAAACTACAACCGCTCACAGTTTTTTATTTTGCACCGCCTTTATTTTGGCTCATTTTTCACTGTAATATAAAGTGCTGCATCTCTATGGAAGCAGCACAACCATGAGTAGAAGTAGAGAGAACTCAGAAATGTCTTATGTGCAGTGTGACGCCGTTATAATGCCACGAATCAGACAAACAGAAACGGAAAAGTCGATTTTTTAAACAATTTACAGTATTTTTTCAGGTACTGTGAAAAAATGGCGACTCAGCATACTAAAGATATTCTTAATTTATTATCTTTTATCTGCATAAACACAGATAACCAGCTTCAACCAAAAAAAAATCCATTAATTTTTGTCATCTAAGTGTTGGTCACAGATGAGTCACCGATGCCGTCATGGTTGCGTTAATAAGCGTAAAATATTTTGTTTTTTCCAGAACATGGCAGCAGTAAGTGGTTTATTTTTCACATTTTTTTTAAGTGAGACACGTAGAATAAAGTGGTTTTGATGAGATGTTTTAAGCTCAGATCTGGTTTCATGATTTAACTGAACATCACAGGTGAGCAGTTCAATTACCACTGGAAAGTTGGACATTATTTCTATTTTTGATGGTTCTGGCTTGGATAAATGGTGTCATTTTGGAGATTTCAAACAAAAAAACAAACATGGTAGGTTTAAGTCAGGCTTTAGAAAGTTGATATCCGGCTAAATTTAAGAAAGCCTGACTTTTGTCGAGCTGGTGTGGATTTCACATCGGATTCGGCTGTTTTTCTGCACGTATATGGTTCGTAGCTGAAGCAGGGGCCTTGTTCTCTTGTCTTTTTGTTCTTTTTTTGCTTGGTGTTCTTGGTTATTTGGTCATTTTTAGTTTGGCTTTAGAAAGTTGATGTCCAGCTAAATTTAAGAAAGCCTGACTTTTGTCCAGCTGGTGTGGATTACACATCGGATTAGGGTGTTTTTCTGCACGTATACATCAAAAGTGGCACCAAAAACAGAAAACCCTCCCATCCTGATGAATTTATTTCCCGGTAGCGAGCTCCCATGACAGCTAGCAACAAGGAAAACCCTCGAAGGGTCCACGTGAGTCCTTCTGATGGAAGGAGTAGACATGGAAAACCCAAAAAATTGAATCTGTAATCCACTGAAAACTGCAAACAAAATTTAATTTGACGACGGAACACCGCCACCGGCTCATTTTCCACCCAGTTCGTTCCAGTGTTCTTGTATCACCAGCTGACTGCGGCGTTGAACGGGAAGTGGGCACGCTGCCTTTTTTCCTTTGTTTGGCCCTTCAGTGTTTCCTTTGATGGGTAATGTGGGCACGGAGCGACCAAATATGTCGATGGAGGAAAGATTTCTTTGTGGATATATCAAGCTGTCATTGGCCTTTTATTGGACGTGGGACTCCGGCCAAACAGAGCTGCTCCAGTGGGGTCAAAGAGTTTTGATGCTTATATACGACAACAGCAAGAGTTTCTTATACGTTTTTTTTGACTAATTTGATGCATTTCACTGTAAATTCGTGCATCTTTCCTGAATTGCTGCTATTTGACTCCAGGCAAAAATCAAGACTCATGGAAGCCTCGTTGGTTTTATTAGCGAGTTAATCACGCAGTTATAAAAAGGTTGAATTGGGTATCACATTAAAAGACGCTGTGGAGCGTTAATCACACTCCTGCACACACACCGATGCACTCTGGCAGCCTGCCCACTGTTTGTCCTCTTACAGTAAACAGAGATCCGATGAATCAGCCGAGCTCCGGGTTCGCTCTGGGGGAAAAAATTTAAAGGAATAGTGCCAAATGTAGTCATTTCATACTGAGAGATTGTGCTTGTTCTGTCATTAACTTCACTTTTAGCCTAAAATATCAAACAAATACTCTTAATGTCAGTTGTTTTAACCCTCTGAACCCCACTGGCAGGCTTGAAAGACATGTAATCTTTAAAAAAAAATCTCCAAAATGCACCATTTATCACAGCCAGAAACTGTAAAAATAGAGAAAATCATCTGAATTGTCAACTTTCCCGCAGCTCTTGAACACATCATATGTAACATATGATTCCATCAGAGAAAAAAGAAACTTTATTCTACACGTCTCATTCATAAATTGCTTAAAAACAAACTGTTTGCTTTAACTAGATTTTGTCAAAAACAAAAAATTCTGCACTCTGCGGCACAAATGTGAAGCTTTTAGTGACTCAGAAGCATCTGAACTGCTGGCAGATAACTTATATATAATTTATAGGCATGTATGGAAACAACATGGACGTGTAAATAGTGAAATATCAATATAATACATAATAGTAATATAGTAGGTAGGGTTACTATTTATCCAGTATTGATAACACTTTGTTTTTTCTGTTTTTGTGTTTTTTTAAAAAAGGTGTTATTATGGAGTAGTGCCAAATTACAAAAATAAATCAAGAAAAGAATAATAAAAAAAAGTGGAAATAAAAAGAAGAATAAATAAAATAAAATAAAATATGAATAATGTGGCGATATTATTCAAAAATGAATCCATAAAAGAAAAGAAATATGAAGACAAATAAATAAAATAATATACATATATATATATATTTTTTTTTTTTCATTATTTTTCAATTTTATTTTTTTTACTTTTTCAGTTTATTTTTTTCTCACTACTCCATACATTATGTACAAAAATACACAATATTATTAAAAAATCCACTTATAATCAGAATAATCATCCAATCAGAATAAAAATATCTAATTTCATCCCGTCAGTCTGAGCAGACTTAAATCAGATTGAGGAGGTTGGTTTTAAAACTTCTTTTTGGTTAAATATTAACGCTTAATAATCCTGTAAATGCTTGTTCTTGGATGCATGTTTTGCTCCACATTCTGTTTTTACAGTTTCTGTCTCTGATCAATGCTGTAATGTTGGCAGTTTTCAATCGGGTTCAATAAATACTGACTTCCATGGAGCACAGATCACAGTATAAGCAGCTGAACGTACGGTTAATAACAGAAAAGGGCGTTTCTCTCAAGTAGCTGGAAGTCGGTGAACGCCAGGGATCGGCAGCACTCGCCGTCTGAGTGTATATAAACAGTAATGGAATTGCTTTCAGCGCCGCTGAGTTTGTGGAGCGTGCATTAACCTCGTAACCTCTCCCTTTCTGTCCTCCGTTTTTCATCTTCTTCTCTCCTCCCTCTTCGCTCTCTGCTTTCCTTCCTCCAGGTATCTGTTCGCCCTGCAGATCAAACGCGACCTGGCCTGCGGTCGGCTCATCTGCAACGACACCAGCGCCGCCCTCATGGTGTCCCACATCATCCAGTGTGAGTGCAAAACACAAACCATTAAATGTGCAAAAAGGATCTTTAACTCAGCTGCCAGGAGCAATAACTGAATTAATAAATCAAAGTCCAGCTGAATGCTTTAAATAAAACATCCCAGCAAATTAAATCAAACCGTCCTCTCGTAATTCCGCGTCTACAAACTGTCAGACACAATAAAACACAAAGCAGAGGTCTGTATCCGAGGAATTAATGACGGAAACGTCCCGTATTAGTGGATTCTCTGTGGACTTTGGTCATTAACTCGGGCAGAAAAGTTCATTTGAGGCAGAAGGTGACGGGCAAAAAAATGTCCCCGTGGTTTTCTGTAAATGACCTTTTTATGTGCGAATAAAGCCACGAATAGTTCTGAATAACAAAACAGCTTGAAGAGCTCGGCGGAGCCAGAAAGTTTTCCATGTCTCAGAAGGGCTTCAGTCACATCGTGGGAGGAATTATAATAGAGGACCATAAATCAACACACATATGACAGATATTCTGTTATGGGGGGGGGTCATGTAACACCCAATTATTGATCGTATGCTAATATTTCTCATTAAACTGTGATACTGATAATGTCAGGTTTGTTATTTTGTTCTCAAAGCTGATGTAAAGCAGCACAGACATCCACAGCTAACAATTCTGTAAACCTTCTTCTTCGTGGATTTCTATTAAAACACTGCACGTCACATAAATGAGAAAAAAAAAGTACATTTTTACACTAATAAAAACAACAACATTTACCAAAAGTATCTCAGAAGTGACCCACATGAAACATATTATTCTGTTTCTGCTCATATTAGTAGATTATTTGTTTTTTATCACATTTCTGATTAAATGCAATTTTTGTTGTCGGTAAATTATGACATTTTTGCCAAAGTTAAATTTATATTTAACTACAAAAGTTGAACGTAAGTGATGGACAATTAAAGTAGCAGGTGTTTGCTGCCATTCATAGTTACCACATTAAATATATTTTAGCCAGATGAAGGTCATGCATGTGAACAAAGTTATTGCATGCTACCTGTAGTACCTGGTTGTGCCACCAGGTGGAGTCTCGAACTGTTTTATTCGTGTTTCATTACATTGTTGGGCTTTAACTCAAAACAGGGCACCATGACAGAGACTTCTGAAGCAGTTAATGACCTCCGACTAGACATTTTCAAGAACTAACCAAGTCATTGGTAGCGTGAAGATTGCGTTTTCGTAGTTGGGGGGGGGGGACCCAGCAGCACCTTGAAGAGTGTCCCGTCTACCATACTCTATTCACATTCATGATCAGTCGATTATCGGTTGGTAATGCTGCCGATCGTCTGAAAATTAGCATCCTAAAAAACACAATGATCAAAAAGACAGATAAAATAATCAGAACAAGGGTCGCAGAGCAAGAAAATATGAGCTTTTCTTAACGCCGATGAGAAGACGTGGGTGTCTAGAAGAAAATTTAAAAGCCCGAGCTGAACGTACATGAGAAGCTAAATTCAGACTTTGAGCCTCCATCGTCTCCATTTTCGTGCCTCGATGTCCAAAGAGCAGAGCATCTGGTTGTTGGATCTCATGGCGCTAAATAAGATATAACCTTTAAAACCAAACAATAAAACCTTAAAGTTCTTTTGCCTGTTACATTTTGTTCCAGCTGTAGGGGTGTCTGCTCTACTCCCACATGTGTAGAAATACAATAACTAAGTGGTAACAAAGGCTTTTGATGTCTTTGTGAGAGTCTTTACCACGAGTCCTCACCTATAAAACGCCATTATTGGAGGCTACAGCGTAGTTCAGCAACATATACTATGATTTATGTGTCACCTAAAACAGAGGCTCCCTTCGACACTGACTCATATTTTGCATCATTTACCGTTGAATCCTTTACGCGTCGTATTTAATGAGCAGCTTGTGCCCTGCAGCAGCCCATCGCCGCCACTGTTGTCATTCTGCACCATATGCGGTGGATATAGGATGCACAGATTCGGTCTTGCGGACGGCGCAGCATGCTTAAGAACATCGCCGGGTTGTCATGGTAACCGCCGGTGCCGAGCCGGCGGGCGGTTCAGCGTGTGGGGTTGTAGCTGCTGCTGTTGAGCAGATGGAGGCAAACGCTGCTCATCTCATCTCCAGCACAGCAGACAAGGATGGAGTACAGATAGATGATAGGAAAGCCTTCCTCGTTCCCTTCCCTAACCTCCTACCCTCGTCTCCTACCGCTCTGCATCTTTATTTAATGTCATCCGTCCCCCCACTTCCACTCCAATAAATATTCATCTTCCTTCCTTCCTTCCTCCAGCCGAGATCGGAGACTTCGACGAGACCCAGAGCTGGCAGCACCTCCTCCACAACAAGTACCTGCCCGACCAGGACGCCATCAGGGACAAGATCACCGACTGCCACCGCAAGCACGTGTGAGTTACCGCCAGGTTTGCTGTGTGTACAGGACAACATGGAAACACATTCAGCTTTCAGGGCTGGAGTCAATAAAATGTCAGTGAGCAGTGACGGATTCCCAGAGTTCCACAGAAGTCTCATTTAGTTTCACCAACAAACCAAAATGTTTACAATCAAATGAAAGTGAGACAAGCCTCAAATCAATCAGAAAGTTATTGTACGGATTTAATTCTCACAGATTGTAGGTTGTATTTTAATTATTTAATTTGATATACATTTTAATTAAAAAAATATATAAAATTAAAGAAAATAAAAATATATTTAAAAAAATATTGTAAAAAATAATAATAATAAAAATGAAAAAAAATTAAACAAATTAAAAAATGACCTACTGTGGTAATATAAACCCAAAATGTGATGTCCAAATATGAGGTGAAATTTGTTAAATATTAAAAATTCTCATTCAAACATGTTTTAAGACAAGATTTATTTTTTGTATATTTGTTTTTTTTTTTTTAAATAATCGTCATATTTAACATTTTCAGAATCAACTTTATTGGCCGAGTTTGTACCCACAAACGAGGAATTTGACTCTGAGCTCTCAGTACAAATCAGAAAAAAAGAAAAAAAAGTACCAAAAATAAGGAAAACGTTGAGGAGTAAAGAAATAAACTAGAAAAATAAAAATAGGAGCAATTGTTGACATTTTTCCAAGAGTGTTTACTTCGACACTGCCTGCAGTTAAGTCGAATCAAATTTTCTTTTCTTCATTACTTTTTTATTTCTTCCTTATAGAATCATGTTAATTTCAACATTTATTTATTTATTTATTTATTTAAATGTATTTGTTCATTTTAAAAAAAATTTTTTTTTATTTTTACAATTTTAGCAGTTTCTACACTTTCTAACTGACATATTCTGGTGATTTTATTTTATTTTTTAAAGACAACATACCTTCCAAATCTGCCGATGTGTTTGGATTCTGTTTAAAACTCAAAGAATGAATGTAAAAACACCACATGTAGCTCAAACACGGAACCAGAAGGTCAACACGTTCCGGGCGGAGGAGGCACGGCGCGCCTTTTAATCGCCAAACATCTACTCTGCTGATTTCACAACACATTAATCTCAGGAAGGTGCAAAACAATCTGGGTCGCTCTGACGAGACCTCGCTGTTTACCTGCAAATAGCTGCTCGGGATTATCTTGGCTCGGAAAACAGGACTGAGCTGAGCTTTCCTCCGACCGGGGATCAGGTTCTGGCCGGCTTCAGGCTCGGAGGTGACGGGACGGATTGTTTTTAGCGTCAACAGGCGGCGCGGGGATGTTGATTTATGTGGACTCACAAACACACAACTGTTACACAATCGACGCATACGTCTCCCTCCTGCAGGCTCGTTTATCTCTTTAACCACAGCTGCCAGTGCTCACGCTTCTTCTAAATCTCTCCCCTGCAGTGGTTTCCATCTGCAAACAGAGCACATGGCAACTCCCTCCGCGCCCCTGGGACCACACACACACGCTTCGGCTGCAAACACATGACAAATGCTTCTTTTCTGCGTGTAAATTCCCCCGAAAACTCCCAGATAAGAGCTAAAAAAAAGCAAAATTGCTAACTCGCTGGTTAACACATCCTCACCCTCCCCTCCTCTCCTTCAGTCCCTGGGCCTCCCCTGGCCGTCGCAGGAAGGAAGTGGCCAATTCAGCAGCTTATACAGGAAAGCGGAAGCTATTTTCAGATTTTGTGAGGAAACAAACGTCTTCTGTGGCAGCTGCCGGATCCTGCGGTGTGTTTTTTTCTAGACTTTAGATAACAACAGAAAACTGGGGAGCTCACTCGTCGATTTCCTTGAAAGTCGAGTCATCAATCAAACGTTGCCATGGCAACTGCATCCGGCGCCCACCTATGTGTTGTGTGAAAACTCGTGGTTTTATCTACAAGCAGATAAGGGCTTAAATGGATGTTTTGCTGCTTGTGATTGAGGAATCTTGATAAGCGATGGGCTGATTGATCGATGGTTCTCCTCCACAGCGGCCAGACTCCGGCGGAGTCCGACTACCAGCTGCTGGAAATCGCCCGCCGGTTGGAGATGTACGGCGTCCGCCTGCACCCGGCCAAGGACCGAGAGGGAACCAAGCTCAGCCTGTCTGTGGCCCACACCGGGGTGCTGGTTTTCCAGGTAAGACCTTCTGCATTTGTATTTATTAAAAGATTTTAAATCAGCACAGTGTGAGAATTTGTCCTAATTTGTCTGCTCCATTTTTCATTTTTTGTTAGAATAATCAGCAAAAATGGCTCAAATTTGAATCCTCGTTATCATCACTAGTATTAACGTTTCATATTTAAAGCTGCATGAGGCAGAAATCTGGATAAAAGCAAAACAAAGCAAGAAAAGACACCAGAATTTCAAAATAAAAGCCCTCCCTCTGCAGCTTTTCTTCTTCCTTTCCCACCAAGTGCACATGTACGGCAAACGGTTTCAGCATTAAAATTACAGACGTCAACAACATCATTAAGGCTAGTTTGAATTACGCTGTAGTCAGAATTTTTATCCCAGATGTCTGTAATGTTGTTCTGATCAGTCAAAATGACACATATGTGTATTTTACTTTGACGTTTGAGATATTTGCAGCTACGATGTTGACTTGTCAAATTGTTGTGCGTGTACTGAGGCTCCTCGGTTTCTTTTTTTGTTTTTTTTTTAATTGTTTTATGGTGTAGGTAGCTGGAAAATCAACTTTTTCTGCTTTTGAATCAGACTTTCCATCAACTGCATTTAAAACGAAACAACGAAATGTGATTGGCCAAAGTCTCCTGTCCATTTCCATCTGATGGAGATTCTCTAAAGCCTAAAACAAAAAAGAGAGAAGAGGAGTTTTGTTTTGGAGTTTTTGCCAAGCAATGCCATAAAAATGCTGACTACTGCAGCTTTAGCATCAATCTAATACATTTATAACATATAAATATGGATGAAATAGTAAAAATTTGATTCGAAATGGAAACAAAAAGAAAACTAAATTGGCCATTCTCACCAAAAATTAGGCGTAAAAGCACCTCTGAAAACGAGAAATTGGCCATTTAATGTGAGATGTCCCTCAAAACCCGTCTGAATTTCCACTTCCATCCATCTGATCACTTGTGCGCCTGGTTCGACAACATTTCTGACATCCTTGTGCTGAAACATGAGTTGCGCCAGAGATATTTACAAGCCTGAATATAGGTTCGAACTAACTGGTATGAGCTGTAAATTCCTTAAATTGCGACGTCCTCGGCTCGTCTCAAGGTGGAAGGTTTTCTCGTGCGAGCAAAAAAACCATCATCTCTGGACCGGACTGACCCCAATTAAGTCCAGTCTGCACTATTTCTCTGCCCCGATTCTTCTCCCACTTTTTCAAAGAGTGCTGGGTTCTTCAACATTCAGCTGATACGACAGCTTGATTAATTGGATCCTGAGGTTTTGAGGTCGGCCACCACCCAACGCAGGAAACCCCTTACGTTGGAAAGAATGCACCGAGTGGTCGCCTTTTGCTTGTTTGATCTTTTGTACTTCGATTTTAGGGATAAAGAAGTGCACACACAGGTGTATTTGCAGATTGTAACGTTCTTGATTTCTTCTTTCTTCAGGGCTACACGAAAATTAACGCCTTCAACTGGTCCAAGATTCGCAAACTCAGCTTCAAGCGCAAAAGGTTCCTGATCAAGCTGCGAGCCGACCCCGCTGTAAGTCCACCTCACCTCGTTATCAGTTAATTCACTCATTGGTGTTTTGTCATTGGCCACTGTGGGCTCATTTTTCACTGCAGATAAATTTCTTCCGACAAAAGTTGGACCAAACAACAACCTGGAATCAACATGTACAACGTTTATCCAAGTTCCCACAAGTGTTACGAAGACTGGGAACTAAAATGTTGACTCCAAATTCTAGAGATTATTTTTTTCTATTAATAATTTGCTTCCGTACTTATCTGCTGTGTCTCAACCCAGTTCAGCTGAGTCACTTCATGGCTTCATGGTTGTGTGAGGAGCGCCAGACTTTTTACTTTTGTCCAGAATGTGGTTAGAACAGGGCAGAAATTTAAATGAGACATGCAGAATAAGAAATATTCATCATGTCATCGATGAGCAGCACATAGAGTGTTGAAAATCTGTCAAGTCTTTCTGTTTTGGCAGTTTGTGGCACCAATAAATGGTGTCATTTTGGGGATTTTAAAAAACATAACAACCCTGCCAGTGGGTTTCAGGTTCCAGTGGGTATGTAAAGAACTTCAGGGTACATTTTTAATAGTTTTATATTGATTTTAAGGGTTTTACTTTGGCTAAAGTGACCCAAATCCATTTTTTTTGCCCCTATGCGACCTGTATCTGATCTTTTCATGACAGTCTGATTTTTTTTAAGGCCACTTGGATATGTGGTCCTAACTCCAGTCGGTATCTGATCTGTTCGGTGCAGTCGGGCGGGCATTATGGCGTTACAGCCACTTGTATGTTTTTTAAAATTGCCGCTCTCGCCTTCCTATAGCACGTTGCTAATGTCAATTCTGTCACACTTCCTGTTTAATGCGGCTTCTCTTTCTAGCAAACCATTTGCAGGACGAAGGTCCAGCTCCAGAATGTATTTTTGCGAGCTAGACCATGTGCAGGCGTCTCTTTCTTTACTGTCTTTGTCTCACTTCTTGGCCTCGTCACTCCGTCCTCCAGCAGAACGCCCATCACGACACGCTGGAGTTCGCCATGGCCAGCAGGGATTGCTGTAAGATCTTCTGGAAGATCTGCGTCGAGTACCACGCCTTCTTCAGGCTCTTCGAGGAGCCCAAGCCCAAACCCAAGCCCATCCTGTTCACCAGAGGGTCCTCGTTCCGGTTCAGGTGAGGATAAAGACAGAAACGGAAGGAAAGGAAACACCTGCGTTCATCTTTTCTTTGTTTAATATGCTTTTTTTTCTCTGCTTGCACCTGCAGCGGTCGAACCCAGAAGCAGATCATTGATTACGTGAAAGACTCTGAGCTCAAGAAGGTTCCCTTTGAAAGGTTAGCTTCATGATCCATAGCAGTTACTGTTGTAGTAAGGGCTCATAACAGTAATCAGATTCCTCCATTAGCTGATCAGCTGCACATGGTTTGAGCTCATCTCTGCTCTTTACAGGAAGCACAGTAAGATCCTGTCCAGCAGCAGCATGTCTCCGCAGTCGTCCTCCTTCAGATCGCAAGTGCCAAGAGAGGTAAACGCACACTTATCCAGACTGCGACCTTCGTTCACCTACGTTCTTGTGTTTTTCTCAGAACCTGACTGCATATTTACAGGCCCTTTGTTGTTTATTACCCCTCGGTGTCTTTCTGGAGCTGCTGAGTACAAAGCGGTTGTTGTGCCGAGCAGCTTTCACGGGGAGTGAATGTGTTCGATTGTGTGCTTTCTCTGAGGCCGTCGATGCAAATCGCTGCTTATTGCAGGTCATTAATTCGCTTTAACCCTCCGAACCTCAAACAGGTTCTGGGCGTCTTTTGCTCCACATTTTTCCTCACCAGGAGGTCCATTCTTTACCGCAATATAAAGTCCTGCACCTCTACAAAAACAACTCGGAATCAAAATTCACATAATTTTTTCCAACTGCTAAAAAAACTGAATATCGACATCGGTGATATCGGTTATTGACGATATCAGAAATCTTAATATCCGATATCGGTATGAGCCAGAAATTTTGATATCGTGCATCACTATTTAAAACCTATTGGCTCTTTGGTTTTTTACAGATTCTGACTCTGATAAATGATGTAATTTCGTTGCTTTTTTTTAAAGATAGCATTCATTTCATACTCATCGGTGGGTTTAAAAGGTAAAGAAGCCCAATTAAACTAAAATTCTCCCCTTCTCTCCACCTCAACCCCACCACTCTTTCTTATTTCCAGAGTGCCATGTCGGTCCAGATAGCAGACCAGCCCGACTCGGCTAGACTGGTCCATCAAGCTGAACTTAATGGTTCAGAGGAGCCACCGGCGGTCGCACATCCCACCAACGGTTTCCACGACATATCGGCGGCACCCAGCTCAGACCCAACTCAGCCCCGACAGAACCACCACCACGGCATGGACCCGCAGCTCCTCAACCCAGGTCCATCCTGCAGGGCAAACAAAGGCAGCAGCTCCTCTATTCCTTATATAGACTGCAGCGACATAGACAGTGAATGTGACGTGACAAAGAACAACAGGGCTACCAGGGGCCACAGCAATGCAAATGACAGCAATGAGGATGAGCCTTGTGTGTTAAATAGGCACAGGGGTAGCGTTGGTCGCAGCGGAGGGCAAGCTGGGAGTCTGTTTGGGGTTGTGAACGGGTTCTACCACACCAACCACCAGGGAGTGATGCAGCAGGGTAATAGAAACGCGGTAGATCAGTCCCCGGTGTCCAACAAGTTTAGCCACGAGCTAACAGATGAGGAGATTTTGTCAAACGGAGGCTCTTTTCACGGCCGCGTCCCGCTTCACAGCACGCTGCTGGATGAGATCTTTCAGGGTCGAGACAAGCGAGGCGTGCCGTTAGGGCGACCGTTGGGAAGCGGGACTCGGAGTCAGTGCTCCAGCCCGGTGATCAGCAGCTTCCACCACCGCACGAGCTCGCTGAGCCACGCCGAGATGACAAACGGTCACGGTCAGCCGCGCTCGACCTCGCGATGGGACGACGGCGGGCATTATTTCACTAAACGTCCCGGAGCAACTCCCGTCGAAGCTCCCGCTGTCCCGCCGCCATCCCATCCGCCGAACCACTACGGCAGCTACTCCCCGATCACCTCAAACCGCACGCCGCCGCCGCATCTGGCCAAACCGTACAACAACAACAACATGAGGAACCGCTCCGATACCGATCCGTTCATTCTCAGTCAGCTGACCTCCACCCCCATCCACCACCATGACCCGTACCGCTCCGGGTTGCACGGCCAAGCGCCTTGTTCCGCCCCGATGGAGCGAAGAATGATCATAACCAACGGCAATCACGGGAACCTCATGGTTCCGGGTCAGGCGCGGTCCAATACGGTGCAGCGGTTGTTTGGGCGTCAGGGCAAACCCGGCAGCAACCCGCCGCGTAACAACCACAACAATCTCAACCAGCCGGTCCAAATGATCGACGGTTCTACCAGCAGCGGCACCGACACCAGCGACACGGAGTCGGACACCGGTAGCAGCGCGTACAGCCAGCCGCTGATGTACGGCAACCCGGCCGCCGTGAGCTCCATGAATTCGGTTAACTCGAACGGCCTGAACTCGTCCCCGCTGCCCCGCAACAAGTACTCCTTCGGGAGTCTGCAGCTGGAGGAGGCCGACGACGGCGAGGGCGAGGAGGAGGAAGGCTGCTACCGCTTTAACGAGGAAGACATAGGCGGTCGAGTTTTTAGCTGTTGAGCTTCGAATTAGCAGTTACGATGCACAATACATGAATACAATCCTCTTGTTCATTTAGAATATTACGGATAAACTGACTAACCGTTTGAAGCCAGTTTTGTCTGCTGAGATAATTCTCTAATCTTTACGTTAATGAAGAACCATTATTATTTGAATACAAGAAGTACCTTTCGGTGATCTGATAGTATAGATCTACTTCACTTTTATACACTTTACACAAAGGTTCTAACGTATTTTTTGAGGTCTAGAAATAGAGACGTGAAGTCCTGCCTCTTCCGGTTTGCCCCATGTGACTGTATCTCTGAAAAAGTACAAGTACAAGGCAAGAGACCCCATCTATCCTTCAGTTTAAAAGATATATTTGCAAGTCAAGAGAGTTGCCGAATGTCATGAAGACTGCTCAGTGAACTACGTCTTTCGTCTGGCGTCATATCAGTCACTAGCAATGTTTCGCTTTGTTCTTTTAGACGAAGGGCAATAGTCTTAAGGAAGGTAGTGCCACAAGTAAGACCATGTTGACGGCTACGTGAACGCGGCAAACCTATCTGTCTGTATGATGTCCACAACAGGTGAACAGTGCACTGGATTTCTGGAGAAACTTTCGGATTTGTTTGAGCACCGTCTACCAAACAAATCAAAGTCCAGCAGCGACTACTTACAATCATTAGTTATAAAGGTGTGGATGACGGAGACTCACCTTTTTCAACTTGCGAAATCATCTTTAAATTGTCATACATGCGTCATTTATGGCACCATTCACGACGACTTTACGTATTTTTCGTAGGTGGTCCGCTGGAAGAGGCGTGGCTTCACCTCTCCGTAGACGTTTTTGAAAAAAACTGATTTTTTTTAAATGTTGGAACAGAAATATCTTCCCTACTTTTAGATAAATCAACTATAATCTCTGATTGTAGTCTTTTTGCAAGGCTCTTTGTGAAAATTTATGAAATGAGCGTAGATGTTGTTTGAAGAAAAACCTTCCTTACAATGTGCCATAACTTTAAAATTGTACATTCAGTGTAGATGCATGTGCAGATGAAAAAAAAAAAAATCTAGAGGAACACTTTTACATCTTTTTTGGGAGACCTATTTCGACGGCTCTTCCTTGTTTGTCTACAAAAATCACTGGTTAGCGTTGGATATATTCCATTTAGGAGGAATTCTGTTGATTGTAGCTGAGAAGTGAGAGAAACCTTCTCGTTTGCTGACGAACTGATTGGCGCTGATTGCGACGCTGGTTGGGTCAAGCAGGATCCGCTGCTGTTCGGTAGCATTAAACCCTTTTATGATTGTTTGTAGTGGTAATGTTTCCCCGTTTGTAGTGTTTCTCTAAATCAGACTTTTATGATTATTTGTCTCGTGCAATAGAAGGGCTTTAAGGTTGTAGCTGGAGTTCATGAAGGGATTTAATGGAGAGGGGGATTCGTGAAAGGGGCGTCTTTGGTTGGAATCAGTGAGCTGGGAGATGGTCCCCCTTCTACCTGTACAGTGTATTTGAATGTTCTTGGTAGAGAAAGGCTTGTAGAAAAAAAAAAACTGTGTTTAACGTGAGAGCTGTCGGGATCAGGAGGAAAGCCGGTCTGCCTTTCTCATTCGGCTGACGTCCTTCTCTTCTGAGCACTTTTTAATGCTTCCAGTCGATTCCTGTCCGTCCGTCCGTCCGTCTGTTTGTTTGTTGTGGGCGACTTGCACTGTAATTTGGATGTTTGTGGTAGAGCCTTTTTCTAGTAAATTCTCTTTTTTGTATTTACCCTTAGTGGAGGAATTGGAATAGATTTGCATCAATTAAATCGTTAGGGTCGCGTTCAAACCCTCCCTAACCTTTGTATCTGTATTTTTGATAATAACTGCCTCTCCGACGTTTCTACTGAAGATGTATTTACACTGTATGCGCTCATATTTCTATTGCTTGGGCTTTTTTTTTTTTCTTTCTTTCTGTGGTTCTTTTTTCTTTCTTTCTTTCTTTCTCGGTTTAACACGCACAATAAGCGACAAACAAACAGCCTTCAGTCCTCAAACCATCCATAGCTGTGTGCTTTGCTTGGCTTGGCCCCTGGCATGCACGACAACCACGAAACAAAGGTAACCCGCTGTTATCTTTCACTTTCTTCAGAAGCCGTTTTCTTACCTTGTTCCAGTGATGTTTACCGAAAAGGCTTCACATCCCCGTCTCTGTCATTGGCTGGCTGGCTGGCTGCTCGCTGCAATGCACATGTGTTTTATCTGCAGTTTGAACAAGCTTAACCCTCTGAACCCCAAGACGTTTCTGGGCGTTTTTCTACTGGAATAAAGTGGCCCGAGATATTTTACTACTTCCATTTTTACAACCTCTACAAACTAGGCCTTTTTCGTACAACTCTGGAAAATATTTTGCAGAGTTGTATCCTCTGACAGCTTGCTGAGTACCTGTTCCTCCGTTTTTGAGCCATGCTGCATTTATTTTATTGCTCAAATGTTTTTAATTTTGCCCTTAGTCGCTCTAATTTGTTTCCTCCTATCTGCTTTAAATGCGCCAAAGAGGTGCAAGCATTTTATTTCTGGCAAATTCTTTTAACAAGACATGTAGAACAGAGTGATTTTGCCATTGATGCATTTTCTGACAGGTTCAAAGACCGTCAGAAATGTGAAAATCTGACGGTTCTTTAAGTTTTTCAGGTTTGGGGGGTTCAGAGGGTTAAGAGGATGAAACTGGTGGGTTCTTCTGTTGCACTTCAGTATGGTACTGCTTGGAAAAAAAATGTCTTTACGTCCCAAAAACAAACTCAAGAAAAGCAGAATTCATAATAAAAAAAAGAATACTCAAAATGATTTTGCTTTTGGGGATAAAAGGCATATTATTTTTTTTCCTTACCTTCCCACTAGCAGGACGAATTCTAAGGTTACTGATACTTTTGCTTCCTTCGTCTAAATGAATAAATAAGCACCAAAACGTCACTTTACATCGTGCATATTGAGAGGGGCTTTCTGAAACATTAATGTCAGGGGTTCAAGCTCCAAGGTGACTTAACTGGGACTATATATCATCAAGATTTTATCGCTTTCCAAACGAGCTTCTCTTTCCTCAGAGCTACTGCTTCTTCCTGAAACCAATGTTCACGCTTCTTCACGCTTTGTAAATGCACTGTGTGTGTTTTTCAGCATGTTTTTTTTGGTCGGCTGGGGAGAAAACGAGCGCTGCTCTGGCGCCGTTTCTCACCGTTTTCCTTTTCTCCACTGTGAATGCATGTTAACCAGGCTAAAGAATTCCCTGCTTTTCTGTCATTCGGCTCTGTTGTTGCTCACTTTGTCACTCGGTGTTCCTGTCGTGGGGCTCTAAATGGTTCCAGATGTTTGAGACGTAGCTGGTGCAGTTAACCCAACAACAAAGTGTATCTTTACAGTTTTTTCTGACACAAACTTGTTGGATTTAACAATTTAATGCCTTTTTTTGTTGTCACTGCACCCTCATGATTAATTAACTGCACCGTGTCTTTTTCAAATATTTAAGAACCATTTGTGTTTTCCGCCCCGGGCTTCCTTTCCTCAAGGAACAAACAAGGCCGACTCAACTCCAGCGCTCAGAGAGAGCGAGAAGGCGAAAGTAGACAAGACACAAGTAAAGTTAAGCGTAATGCATAATGTAAGTGCAGAAAAAAAAAAAAGATATCTTCGAGAGTCGAGGCGTTTTATTTTGTACGGCGTGAAAGTTTGAGCATTGTCAGAAGTTGGACACACACACAAACATGAATGCTGGAGTCGAGTCCACCTTGTCTTTCTGTCACCAAGCAGCACTTGCAGTCAGTCACTTCCACTGTTTTGTAATTTTAATGTGCTGTACATACAGTAACAGACTGCTAGATTGTGATTTTATGTTGTAATTTGTATGTTTATGGCGTTAATCAGAGCCGAATTTGCTAGATTTACTTTAAAATGAAAAGTCAAATCAGTTTTTCTGCGATATACGCGCTGTGGTGGTGGATAATCTTGATATGTTCATACTGGGTTGGGAAAATGCACTTTTTTGACTTTTTGTTGAGAGTTGGATGACGAGATTGATGCTACTTTCATATCTATGTGAGGAACAGGAAGCTACAGCTAGCAGCTAATTAGCTTAGCTTAGCAGGAAGCTTGGAAACAGGGGAAACAGCGAGCCTAGCTATGCCAAACACAACAAAATCAACCTGTTTGCACCACATGAGCGTATTATTTTACTTATTTGTATGAAATGTGGATTGCAAAAGCAACAGGTTGTGGTTTTAATAAGATTTTGTGACCTTGGTTGTCATTTGTTAACTTTGGGCAGAGCCAGGCTAGCTGTTCCCGGTCTTAATGCTAAGCTAAGCTAACTGACTTCATGTTTGGCAAACAGATATGAAAGTTAGGTGCGAATATTGACAGTGTTTTCATATCTTTGTGCTAAATATGAAGCTACAGCTAGCAGCTACTTAACTTAGCATCACAAAAAGACAAGGAACAGGGGAAAAGCCTAGGCCTGTCTAGAGGCAACAAAATCCACCTGTTAGCAACTTGAAAGCCCATTATTTTACTCCTAGTGTTGTATTTGTTTAATCTATATGCCTTTTGTTAGCTTTGGGCAGAGCCAGGCTAGCTGTTCCTGGTCTTAATGCTAAGCTAAGCTAACCAACTTCATATTTGACACACAGTTATGAAAATTAGACAAGAATATTGATACGATTTTTATATCTTTGTGCTAAATACGAAGCTACAGCTAGCAGCGACTTAGCTTAGCTTTGCAAAAAGACGAGGAACAGGGGGCTAGGCTTGGTCTGTCTAGAGGCAACAAAATCCACCTGTTAGCAACTTGAAAGCCCATTATTTTACTCCTTATGTTGTATTTGTTTAGTCTATACGCCTTTTGTTAGCTTTGGACGGAGTCAGGCTAGCTAGGTGTTTGTGGTCTTAATGCTAAGCTAAGCTAACTAGCAGCATATTCAGCATACAGACATAAAAGTGGTATCAATCTGCTCATCTAACTCTCAGCAAGAAAACAAACCAGCATATTTCCCAGTTTGTGAAACCATTTTCTTAAATTTAGCTGATTTAAATGGTATTTTAGCATCACACCTGTGCTTCTCTTCCTGTTTACATCACACACTTTGACAGACTGACTTCTTTAAAAGGAATAAACCAGCTTTCTGGCTGTTCTTCTAAAACATGGAGATTGGTGGCGGTTTCAGTTTGCATGTCATGTATTTACTTGACTGTCTCTTATGGTGCATGTCGAGGCTGTGAAACTCTAATAAACGCTGAGCATGCAGAGGTCGCACTGCTACCAATCTAGCGGAAGAACTGCCAGGAAGTCTTTCCAAAAACGACATTCAAACGTTTCCCTTAACGCACACTGACCACGAAGTCGAAAGCTGCACTGACTCACTGGTTTTCTCTCGCTCTTGTAACACTTTGTATTCCTGCACATCTGTCCTTCTTCTTTTTTTAATTATTATTTTATTATTTTCACCTTCAAACATCTACTGGATTTTGTTTTTCTTTACTCTTCATCTCTTTAACACTGTAACTGATTGTGTGCACTAGTGTCAATAAAGAACGACTTTGTATGTCCGAAGAAAAGGGACTCGAGAATTTTGTGTAGCGGGTTCGTCGAACTCCCCCCTAGCCCTTTTCCAAACCCACCTACCTCGGCCTGCTTGGACTGTCTTGTGTTGTGGTCGTAGCGTAGTCCGTTTCGTCAAGTGTTGCGCATGAGTCCACCCGTTTCTGTCTGTATTTTCTGTTGCACAGCCTCGATGAGTTTGTCGTTTCCCTGTTTGTCGTCCTTTTTTTTCCCCCTAGCGTTTGTAGTTCTTAGTAGTTTTCTGTATGGTGGTAAGTTCTTTTGTAGCACCACCACCCCCCCTCACAGATCTGCACTCAGTGGTTGCCATGGTTTTACCCATGATCCAGTTTGGTGTATAGCAGTGGACTCTTTGGAAACTTTGGGCAAGTATACAGTCGCAACCATGTAGTTAACGTCTGTAGTGACTTTAGCTGTAGTGCTTTTTAATTCTTCTGTTTGGATGATTTTCAGACCAGACTCCTGTTAGAAAGCAGCTGATTTTAGGTGCCACCTCTGTAGACGATCATCACACCTACTTCTAAACGAGACATTTTTATTAAGCACAACAGCAGTATTTGTCTTGTTACTAACACTTTTTAATATAGCTCCTTACTAACAATCTACTCAACTTTCTTTACTGTTTTCTTTCTCTTTTTTTAAAACTACTACTTTAAAAGTGGATCCAAATAGAAGAAGTAGATGTAGCCTAGTTCAGGAGTGCTTCTGTCATGTCTGCCGGAACATGACAGCTGCTAAATTTGGGTCATGGCTTCACCGTGAAATTCACTGCCATACAGGTCGGTTAGAGGAACTATTTGGGGAATTGCTTCTACACTCTAAAAATAAAAATGCATCTATAAACCTTTTCCTTCTCTGTCAGAATTAAATGATAAGAAAGACGTGTTGGCAGTGAATTTCACGAGAGCAGCTGAATGGCTTTTTTTTTTTTTCCTATCATGTGTATAGAATTTAATTTAACACCATCCCCTTATCCTCTCCTGCCATCTTCTCTCTTATCTCACTCTTTGTTCTATTCCCGTCCCCGCTTCCCTCCCCTTTTTTCTATTTTCCTATTTCCCCTTCTCCTCTCTCAGGAAGTCCCAGTTCGCAGGACTCTCCGATGGGAAGTCCCCGCGTGGTGGTCAACGGCAACGGCTCGGTGAACGGGGAGGGCGTCGCCGACGTCCTGGGTCCGGGGCAGATCCCCGAGGGTCAGCAGCTATCGCCGCTCACCAGCCCGCTGCTCACTGAAGCTGGATACGTCCGCAACGAGGATGAAGACGAGGCGAGGAGGAAGGTGGGCGTGCAGAGAGGGAGAGGGTGGATGGGAAACATGAATCTTGAAGGTCACTTAGATGTTGCAGTAATAAACTAGAGTTGAGTTGTCTTATTCAACACTGTCGTAACCGATTGGTGCTCAAAGTAACCCT